CCCCCCCCCCAACCGCAGGGAGGGAGGGGAGGGGCAGGCACCTAGTCACACAGTTACACGGCACCCATCCCATCGTGCTGTAGAAGTGGGCCACTCCTTCACACAGGCTGACCCCCTCCAACACACACACACACCTCCCTCCACATGTCTGAGGCTATAAAAGGAAAGGGGGTGAAGACACTTTAGGAAGTGTACAGTAAGAACAGATGCACACACACACACACAAACTTTAACTCTTCAAAGTGTATAAATCAGCTCCACTGTACAAAAACACCCTCAGAACGCTACATTATGATGTGTCTCAGATTCAGCAGAGATGCATGATGGGGAATTTGTACAGAGCTGACATACTGATAGGACTTAGCCCTATTTTTAATTATTATTAATTGATTAAATAAACTTGATGTGAACAAGTGAAGTGTACAAATTCTGGAAAACTTGGTTTCAAATAATTACATATTTGTGATATTATATACAACAATCAAAGTGAATTTAAAGACCAAAACATTCTTAGTTTAAAAAAAATAATAAGTGATAAGTGATACTAAGATTCAGCAGATTATACTGTCAAATTCAGATCGGTCAGTGCATGGAAATACTTGACAGCTCCACTTTAAACTCACTTTAAATCAGCGAGACAAAACACAGATACAGGAGTCAATGTGTTCATGACTCGATCACTCCTATCTTAGACTTTATACGCGTTATAAAATACAATACGTGTCTAACACCTCGTGCTTTCAGAGCCCTAAATTAAGTCTGCAGATTGTTTATGTTGTCTAAACAACATAACAACTAAAAGAGAATAATTTAACAATGATATGATGCAGAGAAAAGCTGCAGTTTGTGTTTTGATATTTTTGCTTGATAGAAGACTTAAACTTGGTCAATTAAAATCTAAAATTCTTGTCCATAATTCCCTGTTGATCGTAAGCAATGAATAGAATAATAATTTCATCTTCGGTGTTTCACCTCCAGCTGGGCACATTGAGTGCAGTGGATACTGGCGATGTCTTCTTGCGGTCGAATCAATAACAGGATGAGTCTCTCTGACATGAGGTCAGGCTCTTAATTAGCTCCGTGCTCTTTCACATTTAACATTTGATGCTTCAGTGTTAAAGTAGCAAAAAAGGTCGGAGCTGCACTCAGAGCAGTAATTTATCGTTACCACCATATTATTTTTGAACTTCCTGCTCAATTAAATGTGGCAATATCACTGTCAACAGCCCCCCTCTGTAGTCATGCAAGACAAATCTTTGCAGTGATTTAGAAGGGATGGACCTGTCCTGTGTCTGAACGCCTGCATCAATCCACAGACGTCAATACGTTGACACATTTCACCATCAGGAAATTATTCGACTACTATTATTTTTGATCGTATTCTTTGAGTGTCAGCAGTGTGCTTGGAAGGTATGAACAGTGACTGATCAGCAAACAATTAATTCCACTCTTAATTAAGTGTGTAAATTGATTACCAAGCAAAAAAATGTCCAAAAACATTTTGCAGGTCGCAGCTCCTGAAACGCGAGGATTCATTCCTGTAAGGACCGACTGTTGATCAGACATAACAAGCAATTTGAAGGTGTCACCTTGGGCATGTAGGACACTATGATGGGCATTAGTAGCATTTCTCTTATTATAGATGCCAAACCTCCACCAAAATGCAAATAGATCTATGATGAGACGGTGTAGCAGACAATCGTCCTGGCAGAATACAAAGGCCAAAGATACTATATCTTCTCTCAGTATCCACAGCTCTGTCTGGGCAGCCTGCATCCCTGAAGGAAACAGTGGATGAGTGTCAGTGGCACACCCCTCCTGGTCACATCGGGCAGCAGGGATGCACCAGACAGAAAATCACACAGGAACGGCGACCGTCCTCTAGACAGTGTGCACATACACACCTACACACACACACACCCGTACCTCCTCAGTGCCCATCGGGCATCCTTCAGCATGCTCTCCTTCTCGCCCATCTCCCTCCCCGCTGCAACGGCAGCTGGCAGCGGATACGAAGATGTTTTGGGACGCCGGGATACAACTCCGTCCAGCGGGTAAAGCAGAGCGAGGAGGAGGCGGAGAAGAGGTGACACGCCACTGAAGCAGAACTGACGTGAATTCTGGGAGTATGAGTCCTGGTTCAGAAGTGACCTGCTGGTGCCGGTTTTTTTTTTTTTTTTTGCCAACTCACGAATCCGCCTTTACGTGCTGTTGCGTCGCCGCGCCTGAGGGTGGCGACATCGTACCGAGAAATGAAGTCAAATCTGTGCACGGTGATCTCCACGATTCTGACCTGTGATTGAGACTCCAAAGTGAGCACTAATTAGCAAAAGCTTTCAAGACAGTCCCGAGCAAACGATCCTAAGCCTTGGCTGATGGTCTATTGCAGTCACTGTGTTGCTTCTCTGACATTTAATTAAAACTAACGGAGGAAAATAAATGATATCTCCAAAAGACCGCAACGTAACGCTAACGTTACATCATGACGGTAGAGCTATACGCAAACAAAGACACTAAATTAAAGAGTTATCATATAAGACAATAAGTCACATTTTGAAGCAGATACATAATGTACTGTAATTTAAACGTCCAACTCTCTCATGTCGTCTTAATGTAACACAGTTACCGTTCCTTCTACTTTTCCTTACCGTCAATTTACGTCAAAACACAATTTCAGAGACTTCCGTTTTTGCAAGAATTATCAAAATAAAAGACTTTGAAGAAAATGCACAAACTAAACACGTTAGTCGCACAACAAAATCACATGTGGGGAGAATGCCACAGGTTAAATTTAAATGTCGCCATCATGATGTTTAACTATAATAAAAATGTGGGCTACGAGCCTGTCTGTTTTTTTCAGCATGTGTCAAATGTCTTTAGATTTACCAGCTGTGTTGATTGCAACTCTTCCTGTTTTACAGAACCATTGCTTAATATTACAGTAAGATTACGACATTGCCAGGAAATATAGCATTCAAAACTTTTTTTTCTCTTCTTCTGTGACATTTCCATCTTCCCTGGTGAGTTCTTCACTGATCTACTTTCTAATGCAAATCCTAATGCATTTTTTTTTTTTAGGCGTTTGGGACTCGGCGTGCATTGACTGCAGGATTCCTGCTCGGTGCATCTTTCCCTGCTTTTGAATGCCATGTCGCCCACTCTCTCTGCCAGCCAGTCAGCTTCCTGCAGCGAAGAAGCCACCTCTGCAGACTCGGGGGACATTAATGTCCCCTGTTTGGTCGCCTCTTCCTCTTGGTGCGTTAAAACAAGGATGCCTTTGAGTCTCCCTGTCCAGCTGCACTGCCACATTCACAAGCACAAACACTACCTCCCTGTGTGATCGCTTGCTCCCCTGAGAAATGACAGAGAGAGTTAAAAAAGGAAGAAGAAAATGAACAAATCAGGGTGATGGACGTGATTCAGGGGACGCTTGAGACCCTGGAATGAACAAATCTAGGAGGGGAGACGCGTGTCAGGATTCAACAATGTTATCAGACATCTGATGATTTCTTTTCAGGAACCGATTCTTTTGCCAAGTTCAGGCAATGCCCCCAGAAAAACTGCATAAAAAAGTGACACTGAGGTGTGGCCTATTTGTTTCTGGTTTTCTGTGTTGATGCTCTGAGAAAAAAAAGAACCGCAGATGTCGCTTCCTGGAGTACACTGATGGTGCTCAGATGATTGCTCATCACTATCTCCCTCTTAACTCTCCTCCTCCTTCCTCTATGGGTACTGCATTTGTGTTCACTGTTCTCTCTCTCTCCCCTCTCCCCTCCCCCTTGGCCACACACACACACACACAAACACCCAAACGCACACACAGAAACTGATGCGAGTTCCCCTATCTGTCAGAGCCAGTTCCTCCATTTAAGATGCTGACTTGTTTATGTTGAGGGACCAAGTGAGTGACTTTTGTTGGCTCTTGCGCTCTACTTTTGAGGCTTTATTTTTTTTACTCTCAGCATGTTGCATGCGGAAGGAGCGTGAAGTCTGATTTGTGGCTGACAGATACCTCCAGATAGAAGAGAGAGAGAGAGAGAGAGAGAGAGAGAGAGAGAGAGAGAGAGAGAGAGAGAGAGAGAGAGAGAGAGAGAGAGAG